GGAAAAGGAGAGTCCTGTGTGTGGCACGTATATGCATCAGAATTTTCAAGGACAATGGTGTCCTTTCAGGAATGTGTACAAGTTGCTGAGGAGAGTCAGTCCCTGCACACAGGGCGGGAGACAGGAAAGGAATTAGATAGAATCTACAGGTTGTTCCCTGGTATCAACTGTAAGCTTTGTCTGGACTGAGGCTGGTTTTGTTCCTTCCATCTTCAGGTGATCCATCCTCTGAAACCAGTTCTCCCAACCACCTTCCCCAGGGAGCCAGGATCTGCTTAACCTTTGTTGTTGTTGTTGTTGTTGTTAGGACAAAGGAAGGACTAGCTGGGGGAGGAGACCTGAGGCAGGAGCAGGGGTCACTGTGTGCTGATTCAGACAGGAGATCCTGTGCCCCACAGTCTGAGTTCACCTTCCCCAGCCTTCTTGAGAAGAGGCATCTGAGGACTGACTCAGTCTGCTCTCATTAATGCTCAGGGGGGAGTCCTGGGAAACCCACTCTCCCCAAGACCTCCAGTTCTGGACACCAGGAGCCACAATTATACACATGGAAAGAACCACAGACACTTAAACAGTCAGTACCATGTACGGGAGAACCCTCAGAAGCAGACACAGCTGCACACATATTCATAGTTCATCAGGCAGTCATAGGTCATCATACACACAGTTACACGAAGACATGGAACTCACCGTCTTACACATATCTCCCAACACTACTACTCATGATGACATGCACAGCTGTTCAACCACTGCCTCAGCTGCACCACATAAACACATACTCAGAGGCATGAAGACAAATGTGCAATCTCACCCCTTGCACCCATGCTCACACTCCCTCATCCCAGTCAGCTGTTCACTTCCCACACAAGGTCACAGTGTCTCAATAGAGTTCACACAAGGTCACAGTGTCTCAATAGAGTTCACCCTCAGTCAGATACCACCAAATGCTGCCAGTAAATATCCTGCCCCATCCTCTCTCTTCCACACATTACAACCCCCAGTAAAACATTCCCAATATTTTCATCTCAGAGAATCTCAGACTCTTTCCTCCTTCCCTATGGGACCGGGGATCATTGAAGGTTGTGCCTTTTCAACTCACTGGTAGCGTTTCCATTGTTGTGCCTTCTGCTGGGTAGCTCTTCCAAATTGTGTCTGGTTGTGTGTGTGCTCTGAAAGTGGAGCAGGTTATAATCTGCAAGTGGCAGGTTATAAATGATTTCTGGAAGCCCCGCCCTCTGGCTTCCTTTCAGTTTCTAAGTCTCTTCTAGACAGATTCCCAGCAGGTGAGAAGGTGTGGGATATCATAAATAGAATCAATCACAACTTGTCCTTGAAAAGGATGTGTTGTGATGCAATAGAAACTTCAGTGAGGAAATTGTGGGTGAGGAAGGATTAGCAGGAAAAATGCATGAATAAGGGTGATGGAATGATAGGTGAGTGGGTCTATAATCCAGCCTACGTGCCTCTCACCAAGTACTTATCCCTCAGAGCAGAGCCCACCCAAAGGTACACATTTTTCTGACTTGAACAATGGCAAACAATTGGTGGTGCTGGAGGTAAGGACTCCCTTCCAGAGGCCCCGAGAGATCATAGAAATTGATCCTCAGCAGACCTGGAGATAGAAAGAAAGTCTTTGTGCCATTTCCTTTCCACAGTAGGTCCCTTGGCTCTGCTAATGCCAACAGTGTTTTAGCCTTTTCTTTCACCCTCTTGGTCAACTTTGGACATACAAAAATCAAGATTGGACATTTGAGATGAAAAATTCTTTGTAATAATAACACTTAAATAAGTATGATTTAATCATGATGACCTATTCAGTAAATTATAGCACACCCAATTAATGACACATTTCAGAGTCATTTGAAAAAGTTAAATAAAACAATAAAAAGCAAGTTAAATCAGAAAGTTTTTCAACATTAAGATTTCCAAGTGGAATGTAATGAACAAAGTAAACTGATGAACAAAATAGAAACAGAGGCATGGACACATGGAACAGACTAACACTTACCGGAAGGAGTAGATGAAAGAAGGTGAAGGGATTAACCATAGACACAGACAACAGTGTGGTGATGGCGAGAGGAATGGGGGCCCAGGGGTTGGTTTCAGGTGGGCAAAGTGGTGGCATATGGGGACATCTGTGTCAACATATGTTAACAGTAAAAGTAAAGTTAAAAAATTTTTTTAAATTGATTTTTACAGAGAGGAAGGGAGAGGGATAGAGGTCTAGAAACATTGATGAGAGAGAAACATCAATCAGCTGCCTCTTGCACACCCCTTACTGGGGATTTGCCCGCAACCAAGGTACATGCCCTTGACTGGAATCGAACCTGGGACCCTTC